CTGACCTCAGGCGATCCACCTGCCTTGGCCTCCCAAAATGCTGGGACTACAGGCGTGAGCCACCATGCCCGGCTGTCCCCCATATTTACCACTGCAGTCTGCATTCCCACCAGCACTTCTGATCCCCTTATCCTGTCATCCTCTTTTATTTTTAATAGCTCTTATTACCTTCTAACACATGACATAATTAACTCATACATTGTGGTTATTCCTGTCAACCCCCACCCTGCCACAGCCAGAATGCAGGCTGCTCGGGGCAGGGATTCCTGTCTCTTCTGTTCACTGATAGATCTGCAGTGTCTAGAATGTGCCGCACACGAAGCAGGGGTACGATCATGAGTGAATGAATCGTAAATGAATGAAAGGTATTTAGAATCCAATCTGCTTGTAGGGGGAAATTCCTAATGGGAAAGAATAATGGGAATTTTACTGAGGACCAGAGGCAGACGTTGGAGGGGTCATGTCTGCCTCAGTCAGGGATCCCGGTTTATTTTGGAACCTCCAGCTCATTCTTTCACTCTGCCCAGGCTGGAAGGGAGAGGAAGTGGGCTCCCCGTGTGCACGGGACATCAGGACATCTACCGGCGACACAAGGCCTTCCTGGAGGCTTCTACGACGGAAACAGGCAGAGACGCCTCGACTTGCCTTAGCCCCATCTTGTATGAATGAGTTTTGACTTTCAGAGAACTACTGGGACAGTCACAAGGGTGAGGAGCCAGTCCGGGTGACCGAGGGCCTGCAGAAATAGTCCTCGAGACGGTCTTCTTCCTGGGCTCAGCTGGGATGACGTGAACGATGGCCCAAAGCAGCAGGGGTGTGGTGGAAAGAGCTCAATAGCCAGAGGATCTTCAGCTTCCACCTCTGCCACTTACGAGCTCGGCGACAGGTTTGGAAGCCGCTCTGTGGTAGGCAGAATCACGGTCCCCGGGGTGTCCGTGCCCTAATTCCCAGAACTTGTGACTGTGTTACACCACACAGCAAAGTGGACTTTGCAAATGTGAGCGAGGTTATATCCTTGGTTATCCCAGTGGACCCAGTCTAATCACGGGAGCCCTCAAAAGTGGAAAACTCGCTCTGGATAAAGGCAGAAGACACATGAGACACAAAGGAGGCCAGAGAGCTTGGAGGCATGAGCAGGAGCCACCACTGCTGGCTTCGAAGAGGAAGGAACGGAGCCACAAGCCAAGGGCCGCAGGTGGCCTCTAGAAGCCGAGAAAGGCCTGCAGGTGGCAGCCAGCAGGAAGCAAGCCCTTCGTCCCAAACCACATGCAACTGAATTTCGCGAGAGTAGCCCGCACAGGACTGGAGGCAGATCAGCCTGGCCTGTACCTTGATCTTGGTTTTGTAAAGCAGTGACCTCCCACCCACAGAACTGTGACCTAATACATTTGTGGGGTTTTTGTTTTGTGTTGTGTTTTTGAGATGGAGTTTTGCTCTTGTTGCCCAGGCTGGAGTGCAGTGGTGCGATCTCAGCTCACTGCAAGCTCCGCCTCCAGGGTTCAAGCGATTTTCCTGCCTCAGCCTCCTGAGTAACTGCACGACAGGTGCGCACCACCACACCTGGCTAATTTTTGTATTTTTAGTAAAGAAGGGGTTTTTTCAGGTTGGCCAGGCTGGTCTTGAACTCCTGACCTCAAATGATCCACCAGACTCGGCCTCCCAAAGTGCTGGGACTACAGGCATGAGCCACTGTGCCCACCCCATTTGTGTGCTTTTAAGATGCTCGATTTGTGTTAAGTTGTTACAGCAACAACAGAAAATAGATCTCCCTGAGCCTTGATTTTCTCAGATCTCTCTGAGCCTTGGTTTTCTCGGATCTCCCTGAGCCTTGGTTTTCTCAGATCTCCCTGAGCCTT